CAAACTGTGTAAGCCAGGTAAGTGGTGGGGCCCACTTAAAGGCAGCAAAGAACAGAGTGTGCAACAGAAAAAGGGCTAGGGTGAGAAGCTGCCAAGAACTGAAATAAAGTCAAGCAGGTCAAATAGCACAACTGGTGCCAAGCAAGGCAAACAGCTTTAGCTGAGTAACAGCTAAAACCCAGTGAAACTACATCATACTCTGGTTGTGCAGAGCACCTAACCCATCAGGAACACAAAAGAGTTCTCAGAGTTCTCAGCTGATCAGAGCTCGTGGAGCTCCAGCCCCCTTGAGACTCTGACATGGAGCCAGTGGTTGCCTAAAAAAAGCCTAAAGGCTTGGTTAGGTGAAATTAGAGTGGAACTGAGACAGAAATGATATTATTCAGCTTAACCTCTCCCCAGGATCATAGAGCAAAACAATTATAAACAAAGTCAAACACTTTTGTGTTTAAGCTCTGAAGAAAATCCTCTATCAAATATATGGGACAGCATTTCTCTATATATGCAGGCAAACATAAGATTTGGATGATGTACTTTGGTCTTTTCCCCACAGACTACTAAGGCTGGAACTTAGGGAGTTAAAGGGGAAGTCTAGGAAACAGAGGGTTGTTACTAACAGATAAGGTCAAGGAGCAGTTAACTCCTTCAGATAAACTTGTACGGTTTTCTGGGACTGACCTACCACATTCCCAAGGTCCTCTATATATCTGTCCCTAATACGAGTTTCCTTTGGTTTAGTTTTCACCATCAACCAACTTCAAGGTTTCTTCCAGATTGTGTTTCTCACAAGTCACTCCCCTACTGACAGTTGTGTCTGGGGCTCAAGGCCTTTTTTGCTGCCTCAACTCTTGACACAGTGGGTGGTAGAAGCAAAGCAAAGTGTGATCATGTCATTAGCTGAGATTAAAGGTTTTTGTAAATAGCACAATGCATAACAAGTAGCAAGGAATACAACAGTTTATGACATGTTGGTGGGTTGCACAGATGTTCAAAACCGTTAAGATAAAAATACTTCTTTTAGACTGCAACTTTCTTTAGTGTGACAGTAGCAGTCCTGCAAAGCCTCTGCCAGCAGCTGTGAATGAAGTGTTTTCCCCTCTGTGACACAGGGCACACCTGGGGTGCTCACCATAGACGTTGAGAACAGCAATTCCCACTCTCACTCCCCCAGGGAGTCCCGACTTCTCCCTGTACCTCTGGTTCCAGCTGTGGGCCTAGCAGAAGTGAAGCTTCCAACCTAGAACAGGGGTCTTCCTAAAAGAAACTTGCAATTGCCAATTAGGCCTTTAAGAAAGCAACTGCTGACAAAGTTATAGAAGTCCTAAATTGTGATGCAGATGCCAAATTTATGGTTTTGGTACATCTGTTTTGCACAACACCCATTTGAAGCAGCAGTTACTTTTCTGGTGGCCCAGCAGACAGAGCTCCCATACCGACTCCAGTAACATCACATGGGTCTGTTACACAGGACAGGGAGGTAAAGTCAGTCCTGGACTCAGAAGCTTCTCTCTGTAACACAGGAGTGAAAAGGAAGACATGCCAGTGGCTTGACATCCACTTTTGAAAAGCTTGTATTATTGTGTCAATAGTTTTGTGTCAATAGCAAGATCTAACTATATAAAATCAAAAAGATATAACATTAATAAATTTAAATGCTGTCTTGGTAATCTTGGAAGGTTCTACTAATTCACTCTTTAAAATTTGAAGGTGACCATATGCATTTATACTAAACCCAGCTTTTCAACAATTATTTTAATGATTGTTCTAGGTATTTTCACAGTGGGACTCTGCAAATGTGTTTTTAATTTTTTGACAGTAAGCACCATTTTACAATATGAGACCAAAACTAATTCCTGTATCTCTCCAATACATTTTCAGCAATTATTACTTATCACACAATTTATCTCAGCCAACACAGTAGCTATCCAGACTATAAACCTGTAAATTAGTAATTATCTAAAAGCAACCAAGTAGTTTTTGATCTGCTTTAAATATTATGCACTCACAATATAATTAATAACATTTTGTCCCAGATTTTTCCTGGGTTTTTGTTTATCCAAATCATTCATAAATTAATATGAATTAATAATCTTTCCAGTCCTAGGAAAAAGCAAGTTTCTTGGTAAATTAGTCACAGAGCCATGTTCTCTGAGTTAACACTTGCAGTTTTACTGTAATGTTTTCACTATTGCTTAATAGGAATTCATGGTTAAGAAAAAATTATAAAGATAAAATCTGAATTTCAACACAGGTTGTTTATCACAGGCCATTTGCCTTCTCACACAAAGCCACATTATAATTACAGCACATTAATTGCTGTACAACAGCATCAGTAGAGCTCTTTAAGTGACATGACACAGTCACATGACACAATGGCATTTGCCAAAATGAAAAGGTACTTTCAACAGCCTGAATCAGTGTGATCCATGGCAGGAACTGGGGGGAGGAAAGATTTTCTTGATCAAGTTTTCAAGCTATTCGGTAAAACTTAATGCATGTAAACCACACAAAAAACTGTTAAGAGGGAGAGCATTCACTCATCCTTCAGTGCCATGAAGAATTAAGGTGGTCTTCCCATCTGACCCTATGGAGAAGGGGACCAGCACCCTTCACAAGCCATGTTCAAGAACTGAGGCCAATCCAGCTGCTCTGCACAAGACCAACATGGAGAAGCCTTGGTGGCAGCACTGAAAGCACCTCTGCAGCCTTCTCTGGCATCTGGCCTTGCTGACAGCAGTCAGTCATGCACAACATAACAAAGAACACAAGTAACAGCTCCCTGTTCAAATCCTCACTGCCACAGAAAAACACTGCAAAAGCCAGAAAAACCTCCAGCTCCTCCTTTACTGTATGAAAAGCTGACCTTCACACACCAGGTACTTGAACTTGCACACCTTTTAAGGCAGAGCAGATTCTCTTCCAAGTAGCTCCTGAAGACCACAGCAGCAAAGGTCACTGCTCCTGGTAATGCTCCATCCTAGAGAACATCACTTCAGCTTGGTTTCACATGAACACCATATTCAACTGCCTGCATTAACGTCCTACCCAGTTATAATTCAACTCCAACCACCCATTGTATTTACATTTCTGTTAATTACAATAAAAACAAATAAAAAAGGTCACTTTGAAACCCATGCTGATTAACAGCAAAACTTTGAAAACTTTAACAAACTATTTGTCCTGTAGTTTCATACTATACATACAGCTAACAAAAAAAGCCACTGAAGAACTGTGGTCAAAACTAACCACACAACGTTAAAATGAACACTTAAATACTCTAATTTAAAAAAAAAACAACAAACAACAAAAAAACCCAAACCAACAACCAATCCCCAAGCTATAATAATTTAAGAAGTTTTTATTGTATTATAAGCTTAAGATCAAGTCTCAAAACAAATTTTAAAAGTCTAGACAGCTCCAAGCTGTAGAGACAGAAGCTGCTACAATAAGCTGAATAAGTTTGTGTGTTTTAGACCCCACGTTTCAAGGCAGTGAGAAAAAGCTCCATGCATTAACAATAACATCGACTCTTTGAGTTCTCCTTATTTTAGCCTTCTGTTTCTAAATAAGCCGCACACTTCCCTTGCTTTTTAAGGAACGTACTTTCAGAACCTTTTAGAAAACCCTTGTAAATCTCTCATTTATCCAGAGTAGCAAGTAGTTCGGCTGCTACAAATAACACCAAAGAAAGATAGTATACAGAAGCCACTAGAACAAAGTTACTGAATACTGATACTTGAACATATTGCATCGCTCCCAGGTAACTCATACAAAAATCAACTCCCAGGACACCCATGTCCTGCTGCTAACCTCCTTTTCAAAGCCCCTGTGCTTCCACTCCATTCATTTGCATCCTTCATTTCTGTCTCTTTAAACACTCAGCCCAATATTAGAAGCCATGTAATTTCTTCTGTTTCTTTAAGATAATGAAAATCAAAGTAAATTGGAAAGACATCTTCCTAATTCAAGCCGTCAGAATTTGATGACTACGCTAATTATTTTTTTTCACATTTAGTCTGAATAGAACTCTGATTATATTTTTTTTTTAAAAAAAAAACCTGAACCTACAGAGCAGTTATTTTGTGATCTCACTAAAAGGCTTTTAACCCTTTAATGTCCCTAAGTGATTACAATTTGAATTGCTATATAACTGTATCTTTTATATTAATGAAAAAGTTGCAGTAAGGGATATGTATATAAAAATATAGAAGTATACCTTTTAAAAGTTAACAAGCTTTACCATGAAGCAATCATGCAATGTAGGACAATGTGTTTGCCCTTCATTGGAGTGTAGAAGGTTCTGTGTGTGACCTACGTCCTAGCTTTTCTCAGACAATTTACATACTACATTTACACCCCAAATCACCTCCTTGCTGAGATTTAGTTTTGTAACAGTTTAGTTAAATTTGGTCAGTCTCTTTTGCAGACAGGACTTTGAGCCGCTTGCCAGCTTCTGCAGCCTGCGAGTTGTATCCAGCTGATCCAAACAGCCTCTCTCACATGACTCAGGTCAAGCTTAGGTAACCAACCATCTGCTTAAACAAGTCAGCACCACACGGTGTGCAGCCTTAACTAAACAAGCTATTTCAGGCAAGATACACTGTGCTAAGAACCCCTCTTTGATTTCCCTTGATATGGACAGAAAACCCTCCCTGTAAGGAAGAGTGGGAGCTAGGAACAAGGCTGTCTGGATTGCCAGTCCATATCTGTCCCAAAAAATCCCTGTATGCATTAATTATCTGAAACGTTAAACTCCTCACAAAGGCACAGAATGGAAAAATAAAATTGATTTCTTTATTAATTTCTACTTATCATCTACTCCCAAGACCAAATTCAACCATAAAATATAGCAAAACTAATGTTATATTTATAATTAACAAACTTTATACAAGCAACAGATTTTTATTTCCTTTCCGATTAAAATATATTCATTATCCTTAATAGCACTCAGGTTAAATTAACAAGTTTAATTACAAAACAAAAAGCAACAGCAAGCAGTCTTCTGGGTTTTTTTTTAATGTGAGAATCAAATACACTGATCAAGGAACATTGGATTGCACTTTATTTTAAATATTCATACCACTACACAGCATAGATTTAAAAAAATAGAAAAGGTAGATAATACATTTCTGTGTATCCAAAACTTTTGTAACATGAAAAACAGTGTTCTGTATATTCTACATTCTAAACCTTAGTGTGTAGAACTCAAAAATATATACACAGAACATATCAGCAGCTCCACAAAATAAGGAAGTCACATAATTAAGCAGTGATTGTAAAACAGCTGTACCTAAATACAAAGCTGTGATACCTTAAAAATCAGAAATTAAGGATCAGTCCAGCAAAATATAGTTTAAGTATTTTAAGGTGGCATTCATTAGAATAGTTCTTAAGTTTTTAATTTAAGTGCTGCAAACTGACATGAACAAAATTGAAAAATTTCTAATTCATTGCCAGTGAATTTTAAAAAAGCATTTTCTAGGAGATAAAAATAGATGAAAATATATGATATGAAGCAGTGCAAAGTGTTAGCAGATAAATCAGTTAGGATGATACTGATAATGATGTTTAAAAAAAAACAAAGAAGAAAAATGTCAAACTGACCATCTTTATGTGTAGGGGCCAAATTTAAAATGAGCCTCCTCTCATAAAGGGCACAGGGTACATGTCCTTCATTTCTCTTGAGTTATCTTTTAATCAATAAAATTCATGTACATTTTATATAAAGATGGATCTTTGTGAAAAACAGATGAGTAAAACCAGTTTACTGAAGACAATTTATATATCTGAACCAGAAAAATAGATGGGGAGACAGGAATTAAATTACAACAGACAAACCTATAAAGTAGCAGAAGTAACCATAAGGTTACAGCAGCAGGTTTATGTGTGTTGTCTGAACTGTGTCACAACCAAAGTTACAGAAAAAAAGAGACTATTTTCAATCCTACATAATATTTTTAAAAAGCTAGAAAAAAAAAGCTCAGATATAATATACATGTGTACAATTATATTTTGAATTAACTTATTTAAGAATTTTATATAGGGACAGGCTCTTTGTACAACTCTGTTTGCACAAACTTCAGTCATGCAGAGTCCTACCAAAGTGAAGCAAAGGAATGATCACATAAATAAAGGCTAACATTACTTGGGATTTCTCATAACAGGTCTATGAATTGAAGCTACAAAATATACATATTTGCCTTTCATACATATTGCATTATACATACAAAAAATTTCATCTAAGGAAAATAATTTGTAAAGTGTTAAAATGTGTAGAGTTTAACAGCAGAAAAATCTAAATCCTGCCATATGGTTACATTCTGGAATTAACTACATTTTTTACATTACATTACACATTTTTAAAGTAATAAAACAGGAAACATTTGTGGCCATAATGCTGTGTACTTCATTAATACATAAAAATTTCCTGTATTTTCATAATATCCGTACGACATAGAGGGCATTCATTAAGTAATTGAGCACATTCCTTACAGGCAACTAGGTGACCACAGGGAATGAAGACAACTGACACGTCCTTAGCCATACAGATTTTACAGAGCTTTTCTTCCTGCAAACGTCTTAACTTCTCTTCAGTACTGAGGTCTAAGGAAAATAGACACATAAAAAGAAGTTAACATACTACCACTTAATCTCATTCTTTTTTTTTTTTTTTTTTTTTTCTCTTTATGCACAAGGACAAGGTTTTCTTCATATCATTTAAAGGTCACACCCTTAAAAAGAACCAAGAAAAATTACAAGAGCGAGGAATCCTAGCTGCAGCATGGAATCCTCTTTTTTCATTTCCCCTTCTATCCCATTACATCTTCCAGGCCAATGCAAACAGCGAGTGCATCTGTCTGTATTTGTAAAAACTTGAAATACCTATAGAATTTAGGATATCCATATTTCAATCAGAAACCTTTCTTTTCACAGACCTCTCACTGACAAGTTCCCCAAAATTTGAGCAGAAGGTGAAAGAAAGGCTCATTGCTACTGATTAAGTAATTTGGGTTTTATTTCTTTTTCTGAATTTTCCCAGTGAGAAAAATAAGGATGTGACTTCCTTCCCTGCCCCCGTTTTCAAAATGCCAATATTTCAAAAAGCTTAAAATCTTTAACACAGAAGGAGTCAATTTGGCATTGTACATGAGCTCTTTATTATTCCAATATGCCCCATTTGAAAAAATAAAATTCACCTTCCCCTGACACTTGGGGGAAGCTCTGCACAGTCAACCACCAAAACAAGGTCCAGCTGCATTGCAAGTTCTTCATCTCCCACAATGTCCTATTAAAAATCTTATTAAAAGGAGTGGGTTGGTGAGATCTCTGCTTATCATGCCAACCAGATAGTCTTTGCCTTCCCTATAAATTCACCCATATGCTTGTCTTAAATTACATGTCTCCTGAATCAGAACTCCTGGGTTTGGTCTGTTTGCAGAGCGTACCACAAGGGCTTTCTGAGCATGACTTGCATGCCCCAGAAAAGATGCAACATAAATACTGAATAAAATCACCATTTAGATGCACACTTGTTCTCATTGGCCAAGAATGAAAATACTTCTACCCCAAGCAAAGTTATATACTGCAAAATAAATGCCCTCCCACTATGACTTTTTTGTATTAAATACACCAAATATGACAATGTATCCCTATGTCTATTTCATTTTGCCACATCTATAGTTCATCTTATAACTATATTCATGTAGCTATTTTTGCTTTTATTTTTAAATATAATTGTCACAACGATTTTGGCTTTTTTTGTTAGCACATACAACACTTCCCAGAAGCATACTAGACTGTCAGTATTACACACCTTTGAGATACCAATACTACTTATTTTAGAGATGATATTTATAAATGCTGCTACACTCCAAGTATTTTAACACCCTATTTGTTAAGGGTTTTTTTTTAAATGTCCCAAACCAAATATCTTCAATTTTAATTCACAATACTGTAAGTTTACCATAGGTAAGACTGGGATCAGAGAGAAGAATAAACAGATAACATTAAAAAATATTTCACAGACTAAAGAACTGATATGAAAGTACACACAGAGGTTTTGTAACTGAATAAGCTCATCTTGCTCAACTGGGATTTCATTTGGTTCTTCTTCCCTTGTATTTTCTTTATGAGCACTTAAGTCTGCTACCAGATCCTCAACAGATGTGTGACTTTCTCCAGTCATCTGCAATCTCTTTTCCATGGTGTTCCTAATCTCAGACAAACTGAAACCCATGGCTATGGCACTTTGTACCAAAGGATTCTGTAAGAGATCATCTAAAACAAGAAATTAAAAACAAAACAAAAACACTTTAAGAAGGATGAATCTGATTATCTGACAATTTTGACTGCAGTACTCTAAGACACATATTTGCAAAAAAATACGTAGCCAAAGGAACCACATTTTCAATTTGAGAATTTTGCTAATTGTAAAGACTGCAGATTTGAGTTTTCTTCTATCCTATCTTTCCCAGTCTCCCCTCATCTATTTATATTATAGAAATCCTCCTGGATTTGCTGTTCAAATCAACTACTTCAAATTAAATAATGTGCCCTATATAATTATCATCACAAATTTTGTAGCTGAATGTTAAATGAAATTCATCCAAAGTTACAAGTCACAATGGATAAGTATCATTATATCAATTTTAATTCAGTTCAGGGAAGAAAAAACCTCATACATATGTTGAGAGAAACTAATTAATAATTTGAATTTATAAAACCAAAACACAGCACCACCACCAACAAGCAGGTCTATCCATGGTAAGATACAACACTACTTGGGGAAACCAATATTTAGTCTGTTGTACCTTCACCCTCCTTTTACTTATCAACATTGTTCGAACAGCAATATTTAAAAAATTTTAATAACTAAGACTTTTTTTTTTTTAAGTTCTTTTATTTTCACCTTCATTAATGAGCAGTATGGGAGACATTTCTAAGCAGGTTTTGTGTAGCCACTCTTACCAGCAATAGCTCCCATTCCCTGGTGTCTTAGGTTGCAATGCAAGATGTAACCAAAGGTATGTGCTCTATTACCATCTGCTAAAAACCAGGTGTGGCAGTGTTCTTTACCTCTTCCACCCATCCTCCCTCCAGAGAGATATCTTCTGTTAATGGCCATTGAGTCTCACTGCACAACTGATAAAATGACATCATCCCATTGGGAGATGCTCCACCCAGGGGGAGGAGCCAAGCATTCCTACCTGGATATAATCTGAGCCTTGGAACACCACAGGCAGCCTTTCTCCACTGGATTCCCAGAGGGAACGGGACCCATCTACATCACCACTGGACCTTCAGAGGAAAACTGCACCCTTCTACAGGATCATTCCTTCAACAGAACCACATCTGTCACTCCAGGAGGTCTGCAGCCAGCATTTAATCAGACAGCTACCGACACCCTGCCCAACGGGGTGCCAGTTGTATTCTGACTCTGTTAGTCATTTTTTGTGTACTACTGTATTTTTATTTTAATTTTCCTAATAAAGAACTGTTATTCCTATTCCCATATCTTTGCCTGAGAACCCCTTGATTTAAAAATTATAATAATTTGGAGGGGGGGGCGGTTTACATTTTCTCCATTTCAAGGGAGGCTTCTGCCTTCCTTAACAGACACCTGTCTTCTCAAAGACACCAGGGATGAAGCTGCTTGACTGGCCTCCAACTACCCCTTTAACTGTTTTGTCTTTTTATTGCTTGGTATTTGTAGAAAGCATTGCAGGAAGGCGTAATAATAACACATAATAGACTACTTGCTCAACTTCCTAGTCCTTGCCATTGGACAGACCAACTCTTCCTGACCCACGAGAAAGGGCTGTTTCTGTTCAGTATTCTTCAACATTCATCCCACAGCACTACTAATTCAATACTTGATGCACACTCACTAGCTAGAAGACTGCATCCTATACAAACTTCTTCCATGGTTCACAGCTATTACATTATTTACCAAATTATAATTATATTTCCTCTAAGAGAAATAAAATACATTCTTGAAGTTCTTTAGAAGCAATGAAGCAAGGGAAGAGTATCATCCAACAATTTTCCTGTTGTGGTTCATTTTAAAATGTAATAAGGTTATTTTTAAAATTAACCCTTCTTGTCCCTATACATTCAAATATGGATATTCCAAAATGGGGGGAAGTGTTAGTTTTAAACAAGTACCTTTAGGAAGTATTATCCCTTCAGCAGCTTCTGTCTAAAAGTGAAATATAAACAAAATTACAATTCTGGAGAAAGTAGATGGAAATACATACAGTTACAAAATAAAAACATAGCTATTCGATCACAAGTTATTTTAGTGACTAAAACTATTTAATCTGTCTGAACAAAAGAATGAGTATTTTGTTATAATTTTAACCCATCTCTGTAATAATCCTGTGTTCATGATTCTTAGTCTACAAAAGAATTCTAAAATATTATCAGTTTTACATTTTAGTGACTACATACAAATGTAACAATGCTCTACCATCAAGAAAAGAAAATATAGCTGCTATTATTCATCATAAACCTAAGGTTCCCAGACTATAAAACAAATGGCACTTGTTCAGTATCCAATGCACAACGTTCACAAGGTGCCCTGGCTGTGATCCATAACCCAGCTATGGAGCACTGGAAGATGGGTACACCCTGACTGACAGAACCAAAACACACCACAATTATTTCACTTTCTGCCAATGAAAGTAACACCAGGTAGATTAAATGATAGGCACATAATTAAAAGGTAGCTTCATATAAAAATTATGTTGATTTTTTCTATTTCACCAAAATTATTAATAAGTAAGAAACTTACTGTTGAATCTCTACATCCATCTCTTAAGTGAACATTATTTATAAATTCTATCCCCTTTTCCTTGCTCACAAATCTGCACCTAAAAATAAGAATATTTAGATTTAGAAAACTGCATTAGCTACAAAAATTCATTACATAACTATGGAGGCTTTGATAAATTTCCTACATTATACAGACTGCCTCTTTTTAAAAATCTCTAAATATTTAGTCACATTTGTGACGTCACCGTAATAGTTCTAAGAACATCTTAAACAATTAAGCAGTATTAATTAATTAAGCAATATATATTTCTTATATTTTTGGTAAAAAAGAAAGCTTAAGAGTTGGCCATGACAGATCATGACACACATTTCTAAAAGTAAAGGCTCACTCAAATGTAAAACAAACATTATGTTAAAATGCTTGTTCTTTTAGTCTTTCACAATCAAAGCAAACAGTCACTGGTCAGACAGGTGCTTTCCATGCTTTCTTTCATTATTTTTCAGTCAGTCTTAGCCACTGGGCAGAGCTCTTCCCTACCAGAAGATTTAGGGAATGCCATAATTCCTTAACAGGAATTCTCCAGCTCCAGCAGTTACTTCACCTTCAGGAACAGACAGCTGCTGTGAAACTGATACACTGTCACTGAGGCTGATGCGCAAACAAAACCCCCAAAAAAGACTATGATCTGAGAGGAAGTAATCAAACCTGAGATAATTTAATTAACCTAAACCAAAATCAAACCCATAAAAGAGAAGTGAAATGTAGCAAGGAAACATTCCTAAACTATTCACTGCACCACACTAAAAACTTGGAATCATATCTCTTTCAAGTGGCAGAGACTAGTAATTAAAAACTGCCTGTACCAGTATTAAAAAAGGGAACTTCTAATGCATAATTACCAGTCTCTAACTTCCAGAGAGCTTTTCACCACAGGAGAGAAATTTGTGAGTCAATGCATAAAAGACACTGATTATATCAATATTGTAGAAGTAACTAAGTCTTTGTATTTGGATAGCTTCTGTCCACCTGTGGGAACTACTGAGTCATACTATTCTTCCTTTCCTCAACACAGGTTTTAGACAACATTGGCAATCTTTCTAAAAACTACATCTTGTATTTCTACTATTGTTTGGAATCCTTAATCCTTTCAAATTAGAGAGAACTATCTTTTACATTCCATGCGACTACTGACTCCTTTGGGTTTGTTTGTTTGCTCTATGGCAGCTGTTTACTCATTTTGTATCTTAGTATGTTACAAACTTTTACATGTACCAGGCTAGTAAAACAATCATTACAATGTAGCACTTGGACAACAAGAAAAACCTTCAGATATATATTGACAAAGCTGCACAATTATTCTCGCTGAGAAAGCAAGCGGCAGTTAAATCCAGACAGATACCTTCCCTTTAATAAAACTACAAATAAGACAACATAAAATTATTTGCATAAATCTTAACAGTGTTAAGCTATAATCAACCTTCTCAAGCCTTTATTAGTATGCTCTGTCATTAAAATGCAATGTACTGTAATTAAGACTCAGACATACACCAAGAAAACGCTGAGATACCTTACCCAGGAAACCATTTGGCATGTTGATCCCAAGGGTCTTCATTTTCCTTCCATTCTTGCAATCCTCCACCACAGTGGAAACACACAACATGATCACCATTACCTGAGGAAACACACAAGAATAAAGTTACATACTTTGTGTAGGTATAATACCAAGCTTTCAACTAAAACGTAACATTAAGGTGAGAAATATTTATTTTACTGATTTACAATTTCAACTGAAAATAAATTCATTTTAACAGAGGACAACACACATGGTTTGAAACAAGTGTTCAGGGGAGAAATGAGCTTAAAAAAACACAAAATAAGAGAAGTTTCCCTAATTTTATTTTATTTTCCTGAATTTTAATTATACAGACAAAAACCAGAAGCTGAATATACTCTATTATCATGGAGCTCAATCCAACGGTAAACAAGGCCCGAAGATGTTGCCACAAAGAACAAGAGATGTTTACATGAGTTTGTGGTCCTCCATTTCCCATTATGATCAACAGGCCCTAACTAGCAATAGCAAAACCAGCAGAGGAAAACTGCATCCTCTCTGTTCCAGCACTGTACCTACTGTGATCCAGGACTGCACTAGAAACTGCTTAAATATTATTTTTATTAGAATGAGAGGAGATATGGATAGTGTTTGCCTAGAGAGTTAAATTCTTCTCAGGCCACAGGGAACAGTTTTCACAGACATCACCTGAAGAGCCCTTGGTTTGATAAGCTGGTGCCAAGTGAGTGCACCTCCACCACCTTGGACACTTTTATGAATCTTTGGACACTTTTATGAATCCCAGAAGAAATCAATAAAATAGTTTGAGTAGGTACAAATATTGTCCATTTATAATCCATGCAGGAATATAGCAAAGATTTTATTTATGGCCACAAGTAAAATAAACGGAATCCTACTATAAAGTTTTGAGACCTACTGAGAGAGAAGTAAGATGAGAGCAAGAAATTATCCCAGATAATCCCCTTTTCCTTGTGACCAAGTAAGAGCAACACTTTGCACTTGTACAGTATCTCTCAGTGAGGAGTTTTAAATGGTACTGTGCAATTCCATCTAATTGAGAATGCACAGAGATGGTGTCTTAGCCAAATCAAACACTACATGTCTAAGAGTAAATGCTCTTCCACTGGTACCACTGTCTTCATAAACTAGGCAGTAGTGGTATTTGCTGGTTTTGGGTGTCCACATGCCATAATAATGCAAACACATGTTAACTAAGTACAGTGGCACACAACCTGGATTGTCTTGTTCACAAGCTTTTGTACAGGCCACAGGCCCATGCCTTACACCTAAGGTCTGGAGGACAGCACTTCGTTTCTTAAAAAATATTAACTAAAAAAATTGTCATTATTTGAGATGTACTGTAAAGGTTTTAACAGTCAAAATAAATACTTAGCTGTTTTACTGCTAATAAATTTATGATCAAGTCTATGTTTTGCTATTAAACATACATGATACAATGTATACAATTTTACATAAAAACTGTGTAAAGTTTACAGAATAAAAAGATTCTGGCAAACTGTTACATATAAAAATTTTAAAAATTGTGGATTTCTTTCACAACAAGATGCTTCCTAATGTACAATTTCCTTGTAAAAGGTATTAAGTCATTTCAAGGTCTGGCTTACCTATGCTGTAGAATCCAGCTTCTGCAAGTTGCTCCTTGTCAACAGGATATATCCAAGATAAAAATGTTTGTAAGCGTTTTCCATATTTTGCCATAGAGGGATTCCTTGGGTGCTGTGCATTGTTCAGACCACTTATGCCATGCTCAGCAGGAATAGATTCACTTGAAATATTTCCAACATCCCGGCCCAAGACAAAAAGGCATTTGGGAAAATGCCTCCTGTGTTCTGACCAAGCTCTGTCAGTGGGTTCCCAGTTCTTCAATTTTCCACCACAACAAAAACATGCCACCTGGTCACCAACACCTGTATAATAAAATCCAGCATTAGCTAATTCCTGTGGAGTTAACTGGCCACTGAGCGGCCAGTTGTGGAAAGACTTTAACCTTGTTTCTTCACTGCACATAGCAGGGTTTTTAGGATACAAACTATCTGACATATCCACAACCTGCCTAGTTCTCAAAAGGTAATCTGCCTCCACATGAGGGTCATCCAGAGAACACGGGAGGGCTGAATTGCAGGAACCATTTTCAGTTCTGCTCTGGGAGTTCTGGGCAACAGGATCCATGTTAGTTTCCAGAAAAGCAGATTCAGTAATAAACTTGCATTTGGGGGCAAGCTCTTTGTGCCTCTCAGCTGCAGAATCCCCAGGCAGCCATCCTTCAATAGTTGTATGGCAACTGAAGCACTTCACTTTGTCACCTTCTCCAGTATAAACAAAGCCAGCTTGTGCTAGAGCTAACACCGAAACAGGACAGTCCTGTGGAAATCCAACAAAAGTTCCCTGTCGGTCATGTTCCTGTGCCCATTCCTGGACACTGTCAGTGTGGGCAGAGGCACAAGCTTCTGAGTTCTGTGGGACATTACACGTCATCTCTTCATAAGCACGGTTCTCCTTTAGATTTCCTAAACAAAGAATACAGATTTTCATTTCCCAGACAGAAGGCTAGATCATAACCATTCACAACCCTGGAAGCTTGCTAAATTCAGCTACTATCCTTTATATATTAAAATAACAACTCTTCCTCTTCTCCCTCATTACACCCTTGCCCATATTACCTGCCACACAGAGGCAAACACCAAGGTACTAAAACCAAAATAATAAAAAATTTGTGAAGAAAAGCAGAAAAATCAAGATGTCTTAGAGGCCTATAAACATTTACCTGAAGAACACACAGGTTTATAGCTTTAAAAGCATGTTATATTACTTAATAAAGATTGCAAGAATGAAATCAACAAAATACTTTATTAAAGTTCTGGCCAAAACCCTGCCAAAAGGCTTCTGAACCCAAAATACAAAGTTACTAAATTTAAAATACTGACCTGAACCAGACCATAGCTGCAAGATTTTAGAGGTCAATTCTCAAACACAACTATATATTACCCTCATATGAAGGCCATGACCCCCATGCCCATTACAGGTGGGCAACAACTGCTAAAACCATCATCAAAACGTTTTTTTCTTGTGTTATATTGTAAAGACATGCCTCAATTTGTATTTTAGCAAAATATCTTGTGAAATAAACTATCAGATATTTCACTGGGTCATTTTACCAAAGTGCTGGGCATTGCTTTTTAAGATCAGTATGTTGGGACTACCCAGCACTAGTGTTTATGTCCAGCATATGCTTCCACTTTTCCACACCCTGCCTACACCCTCTACAAAAATTCCTGTGCCTCTGCCATCACCCCAGATTTTCCTCCCTTCCCTCCATGAAGGAATGCCATTCTTCTTAGCACTTGTCACACATTCCTACCCCTGCCTACACTTTTCCAGGGTGAGTACCAACTACCAGTTCTGCCTGTGTCCCTTCTGTGCCAGAAAGCTGCTAAGAGCACTCAAAGAAGCCCCTTCTTTGCTGAGGGTGAAACAAAGCAACTTGGCTGCAGCAGGTCCTGTGCAAGAACCACAAATTGACAGAGCCATCACCTTCATCCCTACATGGATGAAATCAAAGCACAGTAAACATTCATCTCTGTCCAGACAAGTGCAGTGATACTATTCACTTAAAAAGTCTTGGCTACTGTTGTTACACATCGTAAAGAGGTAAATTAAATTATAATGAGATTGTCCAAATAAACTTCTTAGCACAAAGCAGTAATAGTTCAGCAATGAGCAAAAGGAAAGGCATGTAAGGAAGAACAGAGTATGGATTTAACTGAACAAGTGTTCTTCTCCATTTTCTATAGTAATCCTCGAATATATCTATTTCCAGTCTATATAAGGTAGGCCAGCACACAAAAATATAGCTTCCTCACAACCTGCATTGATATTGATTATACATTCTGCAACGTCAATGCAGATGTTACAATGATTACTTCTATAACACCAGATTTAGCTTCTACAAAATCTTTTTTAGGGTCCAGAAAGGGGAGGGGGAAGTTAAAATGCCCATGTATTGCAGGACTGCTGCATCCTCTGCCAAGATGACACAGATAATTAAGCAGGTGGAGAAAACATGACATCAGTCACCTGGTACGGATGCTTCATGTAATCATAGATACAAGACCTCTGAGCACCAGCTTTTATTCCGTCTGTCCGTCAGTTCATGACTAATGTAATAACAGTAGAAATTATACTGTGGCTTTCTGTTTCAGCTTAGCAAACTCAGAAATAGCATCTGAATAAATTGCATTGACTGACCTACAAATCTGACCTATATGCTTGTTTTGACTCTGAAGGGCAAAAAACCCAAACCAGTAATTACATTTAGTAATATGAAAGCTGTCACAGAACACGTATTCTTTATACAAATACATATATTTAAAACAATTATTTTTTATAATGAAATCTTAAAAGCTTTCATGTTTATTGTTCATGTCGATTTCTTTATAAAACCTTACTTTTAAGCCTCTAGAACTGTTCCTGCAAAGATCTCAAGTGACCTTAAGCATCTACCACTACTACATTTGAAATAATTGGTATCACTCAAAACCACTTAACTGCATAGTAATTTTCTCATCTCCATGCCTGAAAGACTTCCTGCAAGAACACAAACAAAACCTACCTCACATCTTTCAGAGACTCCTTCTCAAACTGTCCACTGAAAAACCCCAAACAAATATTTATGGGTTTTGCTGTATGAATAGCAGTATACCTCTATTTCTATTGTATCTATATAGAGATTATTTCAGAAACAGTGAAAAAAATCTTCCTTTTAATTTTTTATGTACATTTGTTTGTTCTACAATGCTATGATAGTTCAAAAATCCTTCTGTTAACATTGTGAACAAAATAGAAATTATGCCCTCCCCATGGTGATAATGAAAATATTTGCCACATTTGGATTCTCTGGAGACAATCCTCAAAATCAAAACAGTACGAAAAGCATATACCAGGAAAGTAGTAAGTACTGACACAGAAGGTACAATCACAACAGATCAATTCTTTAATATGAACTAGCTTTTTCTAATTGTATCAACCACATAATTTAATCATGGTCACTTGGAGAAGAAAGGTTCAACTATCATTCTAAAAGCCTCTCAAAGCAATGTCTAACAACTGCAACAACAGAAGCAGGACCAGTCCCTCCCAAGTACAGGCAAGGTTTAAAAATGTTCCAGCCACACTATGAAGCCCTTCCCTTAAAACAGTCCCTCAAAACATGGCTGGTTTACATTTCACTACAGTTTTATCTATGAGAAACATCTTTATCAAACATTGAGGCAAACTCCTTGCCTGTGTAAAGTACTGCTTTATATACAACATTAGTACTACTTTAAATAAAGTATCATGTTAATTATTTCTACTTCAAACAACTGTTAAAAGCAACTATTCAAAGTGTAAAATTACAGCTAGGTTAGGCAGAGCATTTCTGCACAGGTTTCTTAGCCGTTGCCTAACTCAATTTAGTTGGAATAATGATTTAGAACAATATCTGGCATCATAACAGCACTCAGACAGCTATTAACTGCAGCAGAAAAATGAGTGAGGGTTAATTTTTGAATAGTTTACAGCTAAGAAACATAAATTCACAAAAATCTGCTACCTAAGATGGACACACAAGACTTTGCAATATATACCAGTAGCCAACTTGAGGTCAGTATATACTCTAAATATAATGAAATTAAGGCATTCTGCATAGGTTTTAATTAACCACATGTGAATTAAAAGTAGAAGGTCCAGAAATATTAAAGATCATCTTCACTTCTAAAACCCAGATATCTTAACTATTACTGAATATTATATATCTTTACTGAACTATTATTGAATATTATATATATTTTTATATGAGTGAGTGAAAAATGTCTATTTTAGCCTGAAAGGCTTCTTCCAGAAGCTGAGTCAAGCTTAATCCTGGTTTTAAACATCTGAAGGCTATTTGCCACAAGACACCCCCTTCCTTCAACCTGAATTACCAATTTATATAGCCTATTGATTATGTTTCAGAAGAAAAAGTAGAGACAAAAATATATAACAAAAAGGTTAACTTCTTCAAAATGCAAAATTGTACACTGTAGATCTGCAAAACAAACATGTTTAATTCAGCTTTTAAAATATTAACAAGTATTGATTTTATGCAAAAATACATGATCACATTATCTGGAGCTGAAAAGTATCAAAGGAAAAGTACAAAACTCACTTTTCCCTTTCAAGTATATTTTACTAGATATGATTATTTCCGTCCTTAACCCCAAACTCAATTGGCACTATAAGGAGTTATTTTTAATTTTTTTACATGACTAGCATGGCAGCAACCTCCAAATCAGAAAACTACGTGCACAATCCTATGTTCCTGACCAAAGGGTACATGCTAGTGTTTATTGTTGACTGAATTTTGAAATGTGAGTAGTGCACCAAGTAAATATCAAACAGAACATACTGTACCAGCTGACACACAGATTATGCATATGTCACTTCAATGAACTTCAGTTGCTGTCTGCTCAGCTACAATTACATCAAGGAAGGTGCATGCTGCTGACTAAAAACCTACTTACAAAGATTAAAATGACCACAAACATTATATATTTAAACAGCGGTTGCAAATTTCAGCATATTTATATCTAATTATCAATAGCCATTTAAAAAAAAAAAAAAAAAAGTTCTGTTCAGATATTTTTGATTTATTTTAGAAAGAGGGTTTGTACAGAATGCCTCCTGATTCAGTGCCAAAGCTTACATAACCCTATCAGCTCAGCTTTATTTGTCTGTTCTTCTAACAGGTCCTACTTAGCCTCCCCTCAGGGTTTGTCATCACAGGAAGTCAGTCAGCTGCTCACAGTTATAGTAGGCTATTACATCTTCCTGATTTTTGACTTAAGTCACAAAGACTTTTATGCCCTCCCTGTCCACAAAATGTACATAACCAGGCCAACAGAAACATACCATTTTGAGAACTATTTTCACACAGCATTTTTCTTCATGAAAAAGTCATATGGGTATGGAATAGAGAAACAAAAAAAGATGGATTCATGGCTGCTAAGGGAGAGAAAAAATCCTTTTTGAGAACTTTCAAGTTAAATGTCATCAGAACTTTAGCTCTATGTATCAGAAGGAAGGAGTAAATACCAGCTTCTATAAGAAGAACTGGCCTGCTGTATCCCAAGTAAAATGCTGCTCCTGTGGCTAAGATACAGAAAAAAATTACTGAGTCAACAGGGGTTATTAAAAAGAGCAGCCAGTAGTAAAAAAGCCTATTAAAATCTGCAGTGCCGTGAGATGATCTTTCCTGAGTATGAGCTGTGCTTCAGCTTTTAGGGCTACATTCTTCTTTCAAAAATAATTGAAACATTTAGGTGAAGAAAAATACGGAAAAAGAGGGTGTTTTTCATCAGGGAGATAAGAAACTTCAGCTACAGCAACATGATTCATGCCACAGCAAAACTGCTGAATCTTCTGGATTCCAAGGCAAAGTTGGAGAAGCACTGGACCGGCACCTCCTGCCTCATCCACTGTCAAGGGCATTCCCTGCCCTGCCAGTGCTCCTGCCCACAGCAGCCATGCTGAACTCAACACTCACAGTCACTCAGTGGCATCCTGAGAACGA